AACCACACAGTATACCATCTGTGCATGGTGCAATGACAAACATTTTACTTTGTGCAGTGGCAGCAGAACCTTTAGGAGGAAGTGCTTGAGTTCTGACTTCAGCGGTAGAGCAAAGCCGTTGATAATGCTTCCTATTATTTCCAATAACTCTCCAACACCATTAAAATGCTCTTTCTCATATACATACCCAAGGAAGATGTCACTTATTTGTTTGCGTATGAAAGCACGTAGCCTCGGGAATTTCCCACAGATGTGATGCAGAACAGTCTTAGAATTCCAAGCACTGTACGAATAACTCATTCAATAAATTATCCATGATAGATTGACAGTTTACTTCCTCCTCAGAAAACATTTGTAGAACTGCAGAATCTAGAATTGTAACTGTATCTTCCTATGTAACGTAGAGTCGGACATATAGAAAACCACTCACTGTCCGTATTGTTGTGGGCTTTGCCTAGCAACCGCTGTTTACTCGTCGTTGCTAAGCAATGAAGCTTGCGTTGTCACACTTCCTTGAATGTGGGCAGTTCCCACATCGATCATCATTCCAGAAGTACAGTGCACACTGAGCCACATGAAAGTGAGGACTAGAGACACATCTTGTAATTTGTCTGAACAATGATTCCTGAATTTTGGCGAACTCTGATGGTTCAATTACATCTAAAATTTCTTCATTCTCCTCAAGGAACATCACCTCTTGTAGAGTGCGTGTTTTAGGCCAGAACTTGAGTACTCCTTCAACAATAGTTTCAGTTAGTGTGGCATCCTTTTCAAGGAACTGAACCACACAGTATACCATCTGTGCATGGTGCAATGACAAACATTTTACTTTGTGCAGTGGCAGCAGAACCTTTAGGAGGAAGTGCTTGAGTTCTGACTTCAGCGGTAGAGCAAAGCCGTTGATAATGCTTCCTATTATTTCCAATAACTCTCCAACACCATTAAAATGCTCTTTCTCATATACATACCCAAAGAAGATGTTACTTATTTGTTTGCGTATGAAAGCACATAGCCTCGGGAATTTCCCACAGATGTGATGCAGAACAGTCTTAGAATTCCAAGCACTGTAGGAATAACTCACTCAATAAATTATCCACGATAGATTGACAGTTTACTTCCTCTTCAGAAAACATTTGTAGAACTGCAGAATCTAGAACTGTAACTGTATCTTCCTATGTAACCTAGAGTCGGACATAGAGAAAACCACTCACTGTCCGTATTGTTGTGGGCTTTGCCTAGCAACCCCTGTTTACTCGCTGTTGCTAAGCAATGAAGCTTGCGTTCCCACATATCTATTGCTTTAATAAGTACACAGTTGATCTAATAATATATTACAATGCACAAAGTGTGCATATTTTTCCCCACTGTTATGTTTAGCATACAACATGACAAATAAATTGGAGGAAGGAGACATACATTAATGAGACCTACAGTTCATACTGTACACTAACACTTTAATCTCATGCCATTTTTGCAATACTGGA